GTTTTCGACATGGTACGTCCGGAGGGGGGGGGGGGGTCACGCCTGACCCCCAGCCACAGGAGGGCGCACTTGTTTTGCACAGTAACCCCTGTCCTTCTGGGTGCTTTTCGTGGCGGGACCCCTGTGTGTGACCGCCCACCAGGAAAAGCTCCCAAAATTGACCCCGACTGTTTTGTCATAAAAGTTGGGAGGCGGAAACTGGTTTTACACCCACCCTCGACCCGGCCGGTCAAGCACGGCTTTTTGACAATTGGCGCCCGGGAAAAACAATTTTTTTGCTTGCCTACAAATTTTTGAAAAGGATTTTCAAAAATGGCTTTTCCAAACACATTTTTTCGAAGCCCATTCGACAAAAATCAGGATAAAGGGCAATAATTTTACGCAATTGTTCGGCATTTTGGAAAAATGACTTACAAGGAAACCTCGCCAGCTCGAAGTTGGACTTCGATTAGCCATATAGCCTATCTGATGCAGTTTTTCACGCTGATAACGATACCGATATTTATTTTTGCCGAGCGCCAGAGGAACATTGTTAAAAATCGATTTAAAGTTTTGTCATGTTGGCAGCCCCGCCTCAAAGCCCCTCCCCACGGGGAAGGATCCATCGGCGGCGTGGTGTAGTCGGCAAGTACTTGGCCTACCAATCTCGAGGTCGCTAGTTCGAGTCTTGCCGCTGACGACTTTTTTGCTTTTTGCTTCAAAAGTGCTGTGAAGGTCCTATAAGTCATCAAGAAAAATGGTTTTAAGTTTTTTTGAACTTTTGGTCACCAATTCAAGTTGCTCGATTCGATTTCTCCGGAAAGACTGTTTTTCAGCCGAAGGCACTTGGAATTATCGGTGGATCACCAACTATTTAATGCACCAGCCACTCTTTTGCAAACTTTTTGAAAAAAGGAAAAGGAGATACTAGGTTCTGTCCTTAAGTTTTTTTTTACATCTAATGTCAAGCTTCATTTCTGCACCATGGTAAGCGTTTTGAGGTTAAAATTCATGAGGATCGTATCGAGACCTGTGGTTCGTTGTAGCCATACCTACCTGAATTAGCGACCAAAAGTTCAAAAAAAACTTAAAACCATTTTTCTTGATGACTTATAGGACCTTCACAGCACTTTTGAAGCAAAAGCAAAAAAGTCGTCAGCGGCAAGACTCGAACTAGCGACCTCGAGATTGGTAGGCCAAGTACTTGCCGACTACACCACGCCGCCGATGGATCCTTCCCCGTGGGGATGGGCTTTGTGGCGGGGCTGCGGAAAATGACAAAACTTTAAATCGATTATTAACAATGTTCCTGTGGCGCTCGGCAAAAATAAATATCGGTATGTTATCAGGTGAAAAACTGCATCAGATAGGCTATATGGCTAATCGAAGTCCAACTTCGAGCTGGCGAGGTTTCCTTGTTAGGCAATTGCCGAGAACTTTCAAGAAACTGAAAGGAGTTGGCAAGTCAGGCAAAGGATTGGAAAGCTGGCAAGCTGGCAAAAACCGTCGAAAAATCTTGAAAACCTTCCGTTACGGTTGCCTTAAAGGTGGGGTGTTGGGAAGCGTTCCTTACAATTAGAAAAGCTGGAACAACCTTGACAACAAGTATCTGGCGTCACGCTCCCTTCAACGGCTTCAAAGGATCATTAATGCGCCAATTTTGGATAGCTTTTTGAGGTTGTGGATTGAGGCTTATGCTTATGCTCAGGCTCATGCTTGCGTTGGCTTGAGCCCAATTTTCGGCCCAACCTAGCCTCTCACCTTTCGGCTTTCCCCAAATCACCTCAGTTAGCTTTTCGGTCCATTATCACCCCCCAAAAAAGAAACAATAAGCATTCCGTGAAGCGACAAATGACAAGGGAATGAAAGTGATATCCACGACCGGGGAAAACGGGTCCCACCACGAACACAGCACATAGCTGCTGACCCCTGACCGGTCTGTGGGGGTGAAAGTGAGCGAGAGAGAGGGGGAGAAGGACAGAGAGAGAAAGCTACCGTATCCGCTGGGAGGCAGACCGGTCCCGGCATGGGGTCAAAACAACGCAAAAACAGCACCCTGCCCCCCCCCCTTCGACCCAGCCGCCGGACACGAAAACCGGATGGGGGGATGGGGTGGACATGGTCAAGCGAAAGCCCGTATTTTATGAGGGGGAAATGATAGGCGTCAGCACCTTGGAGGATCATGTAGTAGCATCAAGCAAAATTCGAACTAACAAGAACTAAAGCGAGAGAGAGAGAGAGAGAGAGAGAGAGAGAGATAGAGAAGAAGGGGGGCGGGAGGGAGAGAGAGTGAGAGTGAGAGATACACAGAAAGAGAGTGAGAGAGACATTTTTTTATTTTTAAGGCCTGGCAATACCGGATAAATTCTAACAGCATCAAAAAGCGTGAGCAGCATCAAGTCGCCCTGTACAAAGAGCTTTAATGCCCATTTCGACACCTTTGAATTTCAATGAGCATCACCGGATTTCATGAATTCCGGCCGGATGAGTCAACTTTTGGAGGTCGAGCTTTCGTAATCGAGCGCGCAAGAGGTTATTGGGAGAGAAAGCGAGAGAGGGAACGAGAGAGATACAGAGGAGCATGAATATCTTTCCAAGTAAACTACAAAACCTGACGAAAATCCAAGCCGACCCAAATCTTGTCGAGATCAAAAATTCCAGCCGTCCGCCCTTGAAAACGGTCCCCCTTCCCAACAAAAAAGGGCAAAAATGGGCGTGGGCTGCATTTTTTGCAGAGAGTCCAAAAAGAGCCTCAAAAAAGGCAGTGGGGCCGAGGGTGGGGGCCCAAGGCAGAGGGCCCAGACGACACGGCCTGTCCGAAGCCCCAAGCAAAAACATGGCAAACGGGCAGCGGGGGAAGGCCTTTTTTGGAAACGCAAAAAGAGGGAAAAGCAGAAAAAGTGGAAGGAGGGAGGCCGGGGGGACACGGACTGGCACCAAGGCATTCGAAGGGCCCGGGTGGGGCCTCTAGGGCCATCCTGGATTTGTTGGATCCCGGGGAAGTTGAGGGAATTTGGGAGGGAAGAAGCGGTAGGAATGATATCGCCTAAGGGTTATGGTGGGAGAGAGGGAGAAAGAGCGAGAGAGAGAAAGAGAGAGAGACAGAGGCAGAGAGAGGGAGAAACAGCGAGAGAGAGAGAGAGAGAGAGAGAGAGAGAAAGAGAGAGAGAGATAAACTCCAAACTCTTGAAACTCCGAAGATTTTGGTCCTGAAAACCCGTGCTCGGCATAGTCGTAAGCTTAGGATATATCATTTTTCATCACATTTTTGTCTAGATTTTGCGTGAGCCATATTGTAAAACCCTCGGGGTCTGCGAGCCCTTTTTCCGATTTTTTTTCAAGTTTCCAACCCCTTTTTCAAGACTACAAAAATTTCTAGGGTTCTCCTCGGCATTATTTCTCGGAAATTTCTCACGTTCCATTTAGAATTAGGAAAAAGGCGGGCCAGCCGGTGCCAGCCTTTTTTTGGGTGGCCCTGCACTTTCCGAGCAAGGCCCGGGGATGATCCGAGATTTGCTGGCGGGAGAATGGGGGTGTAAAGCTGCGTTTTATATTCTGGACTGTCTACCGTATAAAATGGAATCGGAATGGAATTGAAAAGCCGGAATAAAAGCACTCGTGGATTTGTATGCCTCTTTGCGAACGGAAAAAGAATCATAAATGTTTTATCTAGTTTCTTCTTAGTTTTTTCGTATTGTTTCTCTGAATTCTTTATCGCGTATTTTTTTTCTTCGTCGTATTTATTTATCGTGCAAAATACCCTTATATTTGTTCTATCCTAAATTTTTGAGGTATCACCGGCAGCAGCAGCAGATTCCGGGTTTTTACAGCCGAGACACCGTCTCATTTTTCCCAAAAATAAGCTGTCTTTTTGTCGGGTTTTTTTTGTAATGAGTCGAAGGGGTCGGGTACCGGGCGGCACTTGCCTCGGCTTATCCCCCAAGGGGGCGCTGAGAATTACAGTACCCGGATTATCGAGTCCGAAAATCGCATCGTTTAGCGTTTAGTCACGGAGTGTATGCGGGGGAAAAAAACTTTTTAAAAATGCGCCTTTGCCTGTAAAAAAACGTTAATACCCGGCAAGAGACTAAACTGTACAAACTTGTAAAAAAATTGTTAACATTCCATAACTACCTGTAAAAACGTAGAAAATTTGCCAGGGCATGAAGCATACAGCAAAAATAAACCCGAGAACCTCTGCTAGCTAATTTGTATTTGTTGAGATCGTTTATGAATTTTCTACATTGTGATTATGTACATCAAAAATCAGTTACGACATCAATGGGGGAAAATACAAAGTACAAAAGACAAAGTCAATACACAAATATCCGTATCTTCAAATGTTTCTCGCCGACGTCATCGAGTCGTATTCTTGGCGCGGAAGGCGAAAAAGTCGTCGATGAGGGCCCGCGTACGTTCCAGCACCACAGCCTGAAAATGGGGCTAAAATTTGGTCAGGGTTTTTCTAGGATTTTTTATTACTTTGCTTTACCGCGATTTTTCCTATTCTCTATTACCTGCCGCTCCTGTCGATTCTCCTCGCCGAGCAGCCCGTTCCCCTCATCGGCGCATGCGTTCAACGACGGCAGCATGATGAGGAGCCCCTGAAAGTGGGTCTAGGTCTTCTAGCTCGGGGCCCCAACCTCAAAATCGCCTAGATTAGAAAAATTTAGACTCGAAAGCGACTTCAGGCACATCGAAATTTAGCCCGATCACCGATTTCGGGTCGAAACTGCCGCCTTTTCGCTTGCGTAATCGATTACGGAGCTTTTAGGCGCCGAGCGGCGTCAAAATTCACAAACAATTAGACTTAACGCCCATGGGTCGGTCAGAGGGGGGGTACTGTGTGCTTTTCACGTGGGGGGGGGAATAGCACCGGTTTTTAGCCGGCCTTTAATTGGAGTTATCGAGTTGGTCTACCCTATTTCCAAAGTACCGGAGTTTTATTAGACCGGCCGCTGAGTAAGTCGATTTAGCTTAGAAATGCGCCTCAATAAACTTAGCGGCAAACTCTCGCTTCAATTTTCTAGCCTAAAACCCTAAAAAAAATTTCAATTTTCAAGTTTTTTAAACTTCCTAACCTGCCCAAACATCTTCTCATACGCGGCGACGATCTGTTGATGCGTGTAGGGGAGCGCGAAATGCCCCTTGCGCCTCATCTCCAGCGATAGACAGGAAAGATAGTGCGAGACGAAACGGTGCAACCCGCCACGACGCAACTAAAAGCATTTCCTAGAAATTAATAAAAACAGGCGGGATGTATTTAACCATGAACTATAATACTCTACAACCACTAGTGACCATATTAAAATGGTTAAGTCGAAATTTCCATACCCGTGGGGAGCACGAGGAGCCGAGTAGACGTACAAAGTCCTCGGCCACGTTACCCGCGTGCACATTCTAAAGGTTTCTTTGCATCTTTGAAAATTGAGAATTCTTCGAAAGAATTCAAACGTTTAAAAGATCCTTTGAAAAGTAAAAAACACCTTTTTGCAATTATTACAATTATTACAAAGTTTTTCTGACTTTTAAGCCGAAAAACGGTCAATTTCCAGATTATCTTTCGTTGTCAAAGTCAAAAACGTTGTCATTTCGACAAAATCCATATCTTTATTTCATATAACAAACTCCCCCACCTGCCAATCGATGATAGCCAACAGTTGATCGGTGTCCCCCCGCTGCCCGTTCAGCGCCCACAGCAAGTTGTTCGTCCACAGATCCCCGTGCACCAACACCGACGGCATCCCAGAGCCAAGGTGCACCGCGTCGCCATCAGAATTCGACAGCTAAACCTGATTTCAGCGTAAAACACTAAAACTACCTGATCGTCAACGACGCCGGCGAGTTGGTCGAGCAGGTTTCCGCCGTGGCGGGTGGTGAACCACTTGCCGAAGTCGCGGCGCAGCTGACAGATGGCACGCCCGATGCGCTCGCGCGTGATGGTGGGATAGGCTTTTTGGACCTCGAGGAATGTTGATCTGGAAAAGGTATTATTAAATAGCGAACGTAGAATACACAAATTACATGGGGGATTTGGGAATTAGGGAGACCTACTTTTTTTTCTTTATTACCAGGGTTGAAAAACCGCTTCGCGGCTTTTCAACCCTGGCCCCGTCTAACGCACACATATTTCTTCCCGAACCTTGATTGCAAAAAAAATGAAAAGGACCCCTCTACCCCCTTATATAAGCTTTCCCCACTTCCGGTGCATGCAAATTGGTTCCTAACAAAGAGATTTTCCGATATCTTTACAAAAACTCAATTTTAATAACGAAAACAGTAATTTTTCAAAGCTTTGATTCGTGTGCACTCATCTCGGCACCATTACGCACCTAATGACGTATCATACGTACCCTAAAAACCTTCCCCTGAGGCTGTAGGTGAGAGACAACCTCACGGAAGTTGCATGCAAATGCACACACAGACACTATTTTTTTATATATAGTAGGATAGGATCCCCTTTTTCCAGTATAATAAAGAGCCAATTGTCAATAAATAATCAATTAATTTGTTTTTAAAGCCTTTTCACTATTCATAAACGCAAAAACTGACAAAGTTTTATTGAAAAATACAAAAGTGTCCATTTTTGGACCAAAAATGGCCGATTTTCGATCGAAATTGTGATTTTCGAAGCATTTTTTAAAGCTTGTTATATAGTTTTTCGCTTAAATTATATAGTTAAAATGTCACTAATAACACGATGAAAAAGCGCCCAAATAGCACCTGAATATTTTCCCGGCCCCATGACGCCAGCTGTCGTTGGTCAGCGAGAAAGCGTGAAGCTTGGCGAGCTGTTCGAGCACCTGAACGGTACGTAACTCTTTGCATACTACGCTGCCAGGCTTTTAACTGGAGGAAGACCACTTGGAAATAGACGCTAAAAAACCAGAAAGGAAAGAAACCCAATTAAAGTCATTTCCCACCTTTCTTTGAGAGGCTACCCAAATTTGCGCCTAGCCCGGGGCCAATTGTGGGGAGGCCAAAATGTGGCCAATGTATGGGCCGTATAGAATGTGGCTCACGGCCTTGACTTGCGGCTCGCGTAGCCCGGCGTACAGCGGACGGACGCCGGAACGGATGACGTCGCCGAGGAGGAGGTAGCCCGATTCTGAGCCGTTCCTGGAAACGGTTGTTTTTGTGTTATTTCTTGTTTTTGTAGCTTTGATTTTTCAATGTACATACAATGTTTTATCGGTAAGGGCAACATTAAAATAACGCACCACTATAGATTTTTACCATCAACTATCTCCAGACAAACTACATCTTTTTACCATCTTTATCGCATTAAAAACCATTCAAACTAGTTGCGCCATCGGTTTTGTCAAAAATTCGAACGGAATTTTGTCAGAAATACCTCTAGAACATGCATTTTCGTTCTAACTGCTGTCCGGACTAACAAGGAGACGTTTTTGAGTGTCGTCGGGACTTTGGCACGGGACCAAGCCTATCTTGTACAGAATTTTACGCTGATTCCGAATATGTTAACCGTTTTTGCGGAATAGCCATTTCTCGAAAGTTATGAACGATTTAAACCTCAAAACAGCCCAAAATCGGCTAATTTCAATAGTCATAGAAAGCTTCAAAATAGGTTTTAGACAAAACCAGATAATACATCTTGTTCAGAAAAAAAATTCTCTATAAAATGTACCATCTTTTCCAAAATCATTGAAAAGTTGGGAAATTGATAAATTAGGAAGTCCATAATTTTACAAAAATTTTCTAAATTCCGGCATTTTTGAGTTAAGTAGCTTATTTTATAGAGACTTTTTTTCTGAACAAGATGCACTTTCAAGTTTTGTCTAAAACCGATTCCAAAGCCTTTTATGACTAGTGAAAGTAGCCGATTTTGGGCTGTTTTGAGGTTTAAATCGTTCATAACTTTCGAGAAATGGCTATTCCGCAAAAACGGTTAACATATTCGGAATCAGCGTAAAATTCTGTACAAGATAGGCTTGGTCCCGTGCCAAAGTCCCGACGACACTCAAAAACGTCTCCTTGTAAGCTCATACAATGGAGAAAAGAAGCTACAAATTAGAAGAAACGAAACCATAATCTAGACAAGTTGATCACTAGCAAAGATTCCCGAAGATTTAGCTCCCAAAAATTCCCGTGCACGCTGGGCGCCCCAGTCCCCTCAACTCCCTCCCGGCACCACCCACTCGGCGTTGCCTTGTGGTCGAGGGGTAGTGCTCGTGGCTCCCGGCCCGGATGGCCCGGGTTCGACCCCCGGCCGCGGTGGTGAGGACAAACTTTGCCCTAGACCGACCCATACTTGGGGAATGATTAGTCTTTCTGAGCCGCTTTTTGCTGTTTTTACCCGAATCGTGGATTTGGGGAGGTACCTTGTAAAAGAAAAAAATTATTTTAGTTGCTACCTGCGAAAGTGTTGGGCCCGGATGCAGGAGGGGATTTTCAGGGTGGCGTGGAGGCCCTCTTTTGCGGCTAGCTGGTAGAACGACACCTCGGAGATGTGGCCCTGGGTTGTAAAATGGTAAATAAAGAAAAACTCAATATATACATAAAATGTCATAATCAATTAGGCGAGTCTTACCACAGTCAAAATCATGGCAAGCCGCGCGTGCTGCTCGAGAACGGCGGTTTCCGGTCCCGCCTGGATGTTGCGAATCATGGCCGCGGTGGAGGGTATCTAAAAATTAGTAGTCTAACGTAGACGCTCGAAATTCTGATACCTTCAGCACCAAAGTGTCGGGCAACAGCTGCGCGTCCGGGCCGATCCAGTCAAAATGGATTCGGACCGTTATCGATAGGAAGCCCTGTGTAACATAATCTTTTTGTATATAAAAAATCCTAAATACCTGATTTTCGCCAATTCTTTCAAAGAAAAAGCCCGGCCCAAAGCGGGCATGAGTCGATAAGGCGATCCGGATACGCTTTTTCAGCTCGCCCAGTTGGACGGTCGTCCCGAGGATCCGCTCGTCGAACATCTGCAATTTTGATTGTTCGGTGCTTTCGCATTATCGGGGGGAGCGGACCAATTTTTTCCCTGGAGTCCAGAAATGCCTAGTACCGTAGTAGCGAGTGTTTTCAGTGTTTTTTTAGCAAAATTGAACTAGATTAGTTTGAGCTCAAAAAAATTTAGAAATCGGTCGAAAATCGGCCTCGTTTTTTTCGAAAAATCGCTATTTTTAGAGTTTTCTAATCAAAATTTGTAAAGACGCTGAGGAATACCACCCCCCCGATAATGCCAGCGCAGATGGAATATTCAAACAAAAAAAGGAATATTGTAGTTTGTTAAGGAAAATAAAGGAAACCTTTTTACAAATTAAATTTCCTGCGTATTTCAAGCTTCAGGTTGGCCTAGGCCAGTGCCCGGAAGGCGAAAGCGGCCGCCCGGCTTGCACAGAACACCTTGTCGCACCTCTTCTGAAATATATAGCAACTCATTCTCGGTTATGAATCGAAGAAAAAGGCGCGGGTGATGTTATGAAATGGAAAAAGCGGAAACTGGGGCCCAGCTGGCGGCCGGCCAAAAATATATAGATTCCGGGGGCGCCGGGTTGTTTACCCCCCAAAAATTGGAGGCGCTTCCAAAATGAGTGAGGAGGCCGATTTGCCGCCAGATGGTTCTCGAAGTGGCGAGTAGTAATTGGACAGAGACATCTCAAAAAAGTAGATATTTCTTTTTTTAATAAAAAACCGGATAAAATAACCTTCGCCGGACGTTCCACCTATTCAGAACGGGGGGCTATTTGAAGAGACTCCTTTTGAAATGCTGATGACAATAACACGAGAGGAACACCAGGTGAGCAAATCATCGCTAATGGCTCGTAAAGTGGTGTAAATATGTCCCGGACGGCTCGGCCTCCCGAGGTCCACCCCCACGGATTAGGCCCGCCATTCAGAAACCGCAGCAGCGAAAAAGGGAGGCGAGCTTTTAAAGGGACCAGAAAGGCACAAAACGAGAACAATGTCTTCCCGTCTACATTTCATAACCGGAAATAGCAACCATCAACAATCGATAATTCCACAGAGAAAAAGTTGGTCGATACTGGTGCCTATGGGTGTCTTGCTCCTCGGGTGCTTCTGCACCCCCTTGCTCCGCCTCGTTCCCTTCCGAGGAGCCCCGCCCGTGTGACGGACAAAGCCCAATGCTCCTGAAAAAGGAGCGCGGCCCGCGTGAAGTGGCCCATGGCCCTTGGCCAACCCTTTTTCGTGTCCCCACTGCGCTTCTCTGCAGCGCCCGGAGAGAGCACGAGATTCTCCTTCCCCTCCATACCCAGAGATCCATTCTGAAATCATTGTTGCGCTAAAAGTTACGAAATTTATTACCACTGCATATCAGCAGGCCCATAAAAATATGAGAGAGGGCAGCAACAAAATTAACGCTTCAACCAGAACCCATGAAATCAAAAAAGAGGCGGACAAGAGATTGGTGGCTAATCACAATGCGGTGGCAAAAGCAGAATATGTGGATAACCATGGGACAATTGTATATTATGAGGGGACAACAAATTCAGCGCATAGATCAGAATAGAGGGGACTTATTCAGCCTTGGCATCGAAGCGCTCGAACTGATCCTCGGCCTGCTCCCAGCTCAAACGCCCGCGCACCAGAGCTTCGACCGTCTCGCCGACCTCCTCGACCTAAATATACAGATCAGGGGTGAATTAATCGAAATTCTAAAGCCTAATTTTATGTCATATTTAACAAAATTTTGTAAAGCTTTTAAGTCCAGGAATAGTAAACATGGGCAGAAAAACTTCTGCTGTTTATCCTAGAAAAATTGGATCCTAGTGAAAAAGTTTGCCTTCCCCCCCCATATTGCGAAAGAACCATATTTTTTAAAATCCGTCGGCGAAAAACACACCTTTAGACGAATTTGCCTCAAGGACTCGGCGTGACGCAGGGTGACAGTCCAGGGAAGCTTCTCGCTCTCAAAGTCGACGGTCACACCGAACGGGATGCCGATCTCGTCGGTACGGGCGTAGCGCCGACCGATCGAACCAGCCGAGTCATCCTCAAAGAATTAAAGATTATTTCGGTCGAAAAGTATATGCATACCACGCGGAAGGACAGCTCATGGGCACGCAAGTTGTCCTTGACGGCCTCGATTATCTCGACCAGCTGCGTCTGGGCGGATATCGGCAGAATCGAGCACTTGATGGGGGCGACGATCGGCGGAAGGGCCAAGAACTGAAAGCACGACGTTGAATATCGGCTGCATTTCAGATTAATATCCAGAAATAGGAAAACTCATACCTGACGCTGCTCATCACCTTCGCGCTGGCGGAATGCATGCTCCAGCACGGCATACATAATGCGCCCGATACCGTAGGACGGCTCAATGACCGAGGGCGTGAATTCTTCGATGCAGATCTGAAAAAAAGAAAATAAACCGAATTACGGAGTAAATAGGATTTTTCAAGTTTAAGAATCTTTTTATATAGCCCGGTTTACCCAAAAAAATTGCTACCTTTTTCTCTTCACGCGAAAACGAGAGCATCTCCTTGGACAGCTCGAAAGATTCGCCATCAACGGTGATCGTCAGCTTGCCATTTGCTTCCCTAAAAATAACGGAAATGTTGCACACAAAAAAAATTACAATTCTTTGCTGTGTGCAACGGCCTGCTCGAACGACAGCTTCGAGAGATGTTCGTGAATCTAAAGAATCAGTTCAGGAAAACATGGAAAAGCGTACCTTTTGCGCATTTTTCCTATGTGTCTTGCCGATTATCGGCATGTTGGTCACGGCCTCGCATGTGTCGATAAATTTGGGCTCGGGCAAATCCTTTTGGGCCACCAGCTCCGTCTTGGCGCACTAAAAACCCAGTTTATGCGAACGGAGGAGCTCTGACCAGGCTGTGCTGCTTCAGGTCGTAGCACGCGCGATCGGCGTTACCCACACACTCGATCCAGCCGTAGCTGGTCTTGATTTCGGCATCCCAGCAGTCCTAAAAGGTGCACAACGGTTGTTTGAAGGGCTAATTTTACCTGAGCATAATGGGCCATCTCGTTATCCATGTGCTGGCGGAAACGGAGGCGTTTCGAGTCGACACCGACCTTCAGCAGATACATATGGCAGCGGGCCATATAGTAGCCAAGCGTTTCGTTATCGACAATTTTCTGAAAATTATTATATACCAAGACAAAGGCGTCAGAATACCTTATCGACGGCTTCACCAATCGGAATCTGGATTGGGGCCGAACCGTTCATCTGATCGTTGGCGGTGAAAAGGGTGAGCACATAATTGCGAACCTGAAAAGCTCATAAATCGAAGGAAGCTGATACCTTGGCAAATTTGGCGCAAGATTTGTCGGTGGGGTCGACAAAGTGCTCGATCTCGCACATGGTGAACTCGCGGACGCGGATTAGACCCTGGCGGGGAGATATCTCATTGCGGAAGCCGTTGCCGATCTGGGCGGCAGCGAACGGGACACGGCCCTAGAAAAAAGTACGAAAACAGGATGGAACTGAATACCATGTTGAACTCGAGCAGGCGCTTGAAGTTGACAAAGATACCCTGGGCGGTTTCCGGGCGGAGGAACGCACGCTGATCACCAGTTGGGCCTATCTGAAAAGAGCTTTTAGAAGTCGAAAAGACCCTCTTACCTGGGTGGGGAACATCAAATTAAACGCGATAGGCTCAGTGAGATCATTGCCGGCGGGTGACTTCATGTTGTACTTCACGAGGACGGCTTGCATATCGTTGTTGTCGAATCCGTCAAGGCGCGCCAAAATCTCGCGCAGCTCTTCCTTCACCGGTTCGGGCGTCTTCTTGCTCTAAATCAATATAAAAGGCCAAAACGGGAAGAACGTACTGCAATCATAGCTTCGGCGGCGTTCTTGATCAAATGATCGCAACGGTGCGGGTCGCCGGTTTTCAAATCCTTGACCATCCAGTCGGCGAATCGGTCAACGTGGCCAGACGCCCTGAAAAAATTGGTTGTAAATGCCGGCGTGAGCTTTAACGTACTTCAAGACAACCTCCGGGGTAAGCGATGTGCAATCGACTTCGAGCATCCCTTCCTCCAGGATGAAGTGCTTGCGCCATTCATTTAGCATGTTCTGCTTCAGCGCACAGCCCATCGGACCGAAATCGTACCTAAAGAAATTTATACATTTCAAAAAAACGCCTACAAGCCGGTGACACCACCGTAAATCTGGAATGACTGATCGTAGAAGAAACGTTGCTTCAGCAGGGTCTCCAACTTCCCGCGGTCAATCTCCTTCGGGGCCAGCCGAATTTCCTAAAAATATCAGTTTGGTTCACTCCAAGTTGCTCATTTTTAGAAAAAAAACAATAACATACCGCTTCCTCCAGCTCCTTCTTGCGGGCCTTCAGAATCGTGACAGCGCGGTCGACATCAATCTTCGGCGCCTTGTCGGCCTTCAGCTGACGAACGCTGTCGCCAGCCTCCTTGACGGCCAGTCGGAAGGAGGCCAAGTGCTAAATAGGGCAAAATATACCAAAATGGGGCAACAAAATACCGTCTCAATGTCCTCCATCTTGCAGTTGTTACAAGGCGAAGCCGTGCGGCTACCTAAACCAGTTTTGGATAATAGCTTGAAAAAGGGAAAATGCATCAGGAAAGTTGCGGAAAAGCTTTGCGAATAGCGCGAAAAAACGCTCAACAAAGTGTTCGGGGGCGTCGGAAAGCCAATTTTGGGGTTGGAACGAAATGGAAAACAGGAATTGGGGGAAGCAAATTCAGTCCAGCTCGCCCCCTACGACGCGATCCGTTATAACCGCTGTGTACATCCAACAAGACCGGGGTAAAGCTGATGCAAACTTGTTGACGAGTCATTGAAACAAAAAAGAAAAAGAAAAAATTAAAAAGAAGCATGATGTAAGAGTTTTTGTAAAAAAGTTTTGGGCCGAAATTTACGGCACACGACTCTACGTTGCCAAACAAAACCATCTTCTCTGCAACTGGTTACGAGAGGAAATCGTCCAAAGTTTTTAATTTTTAAAAAATTATTTTGCTAAGCAAAAATCCACTTTATCTAACAAAAACAAAAGCGCAACGTTGCCTGGATTTTATACTTTCAAAAAGTTTCACAAGTGGTGGTTGGAGCCAATTTTCAATTTTTTTAGGCATTTTATGAACCCGCTGACGCCAAATACCATCTTCTTCGTCGACGGATCAGGCCTAAAAAACTGTGCTCATCAAGCGGTATCTTAGCTTCGAAGCCAATATTCCAGTTTAGGTGAGTGAATGTCATGTAGAAGGCCCATCTGGATTAACCCCCTTTCCGCAAAAGGTTCGTGAGCTCTTTTCAAAGATATTTTAAACTTTTAGGTCACTGCTATATTGGATGGTGAGCTGAAAGATGCTATTGAAAAGTTGCTGGCATTCGACGCACCCTTGGCGCTGATCAGCTACGTATGTTTGGCGAAAAGGACTTGCTATTACAATGCCTAATTTCTAGTCATCTTCGCAACTGCTGATTGCTCGAGATGCCTATGGGCGGGAGAGCCTTCTCCATTCGAAGGGTCCTGGTGGTGTTTTCATATCCTGTTTTGAAACTAGCGCTCCAGGTTTAGAAGAAAATGTAAAAGAGGTAGGTAGGTTCACTAACTAATAAATTCGCCATTTTTTTTAGTCGCTAGAATGGCGAGATGTGCCTCCCGGCTCTGTGACACTGCTGGATTTTGCTGCGAAGAAAGCTGAATTCCACACGATATTGACACCACGACGAATGACTGAGGATATGCAGATGCATGAAGGCTCTTGGGTGGCGGCGTTAGAGCTGATATTTCCAGAGGCTCACATAGTACGCCACGAAAATGTTGGCGAACAGTTTTTCGCGGTATGTAAAAGTTGTACTTTTTCGTAATATTTTAGGTCTCGCCAGACATCGGTTCACTGCAAGAAATGGGCTCCAGAAATCACTGAATTCCTGTTACACGGAACAAGCCAACTTCGCCAATTGTTGGAAGCTGAGCTAGAGTGCCGGGAGACGATAGCCATTGGTTAGAAGATATTTTCGAAAAGTCACATCTTTCTTTTCAGCATTTTCCGGCGGAGTGGACAGCCTTCTGATGGGACATCTCCTCGCCAGAATTTTGGCAGAAGGGCATGAAGTCGATCTGATCAATGTGGCTTTTGGGGAGACGCCGAAGGTGGGTTGACTTTTGTAAGACCGAGTTGAACCGATGGCTTAGGAGTGTTCACAAGCCCCGGATCGCCAGCGTGGATTGGCGGGGTTCGAGGAATTGAGGACAAATTATCCGAAAATCGCATGGCGCCTCATTTGCAGCGACGTTTCGATGGCGGAGATCGAGAAGCAGCGGCTTGTAATACCTAGGTAATTTCATTATCATGATGTATCACACGAAAGCTCAGAATCGTTCGACCCTGCGACACGGTGCTAGACGAGTCTTTGGGCTTCGTGCTGTGGTTTGCCCTACGTGGGATTGGGCTCGTTGATGAAGAGACTACCGTGAGGTAGTGCTTCAAACATTCTTAAAAATCATGTTGTAGCAGCACAGCACGCAAATTTGTTGTGGGAAGCGGCGCGGATGAGTTGTGTGCGGGCTATTCTCGACATAAGCATCGACTAGAAAAGGTTTGTATACAAAATCGTCAAAACATAAAAGTGAAAACCATTTTCCCAAGTTCACAAGCGATTTCAGGAGGGCGCCCCCGGTCTGCAAGACGAGTTAGAAATGGAGCTGGTGCGCTATGGGTGGAGGAATGGCAGCAGGGATGCCCGGGTTGCTCTCTACCACGGCCGACGTTTGGTGTAGGTTTCTATTCCGCGAATCTGAATATCTTTCAGGGCCCCATTCCTTGTCGGGACTCTAGCCAGATTCTGCCGAGCGTTACCCCTTGCCTATAAGTGTGAAGCGGAAAAGGCGAGAGGTGTGGGCGACAAACTGATCATCCGCGAAGCCCTCCGCGCTTCCAATTCCTCATTCTACAAGACGCCCAAACAGGCCATGCAGTTCGGTTCCAGATTTGCGAAAAAGATGAACGGCGACAAGACGATAAAGGTGAGCCGTTTTGTGATGTTCGAATCCTTTTTTAGGGCACCGACCGAGCGACAGCACTAAGAAACTCTGGACGAGGGGATACACCTAGCGATTATGAGGTTTAAAGGCCAAATAATAATTATTTATTGACACGCATATTATTGATAGACTTATATTCTTCAACCCGTTTTTCTTGCTATCATTCTTCGACACTCACTGGCTATTTTCGCCGGCCAGCTGGGTGATCATCGCCTGCAAAGGTTTTTAACTTTCTTAGTAGTTTTATTACCTCCAATTGGTTTGAGAATTTCTTCAACGAGGGCAGATATTCATCAGTGTAGCCGGAAAAGAGTTCGAGAAAGCCTCTGAAGCGAAAATTCAATTGAGGAAAATGGATTGCACCTGACGTAGTTGCTCTGAAATTCGGCGTCAGATATCCTGGTGCATTTTTCAACTTCATCGGCCTTGCGGGCGAGCAGCTGGAAATTAATTTGGGCATGGGGCTTCCCTATAAAAACTAACCTGCAGGCTGAGTTGAATTTTCTTCTGGACATCGGCGTGCTCGTTCGGAATAAATTCAGAATAAAAGCTCATGGCCTTTTCGGCAAGCTGCTTCGCGTTCTCCGCCAAAGCTTTTACCTATTATGTTTTGTCTCCTATTTTAAAGCGCCATTTCCGAACCTGTCGAGGGCCTAGCGGTTCCACCTTTTCGATGTGCGACTTGTGCATGGAGAGCCCGCAGTACGAGCATAACTGAAAAACATAAAATCTAATGAAATCCCAGGTTTTTAAACATTTTTCGCGCATTCCAAGCACTGGAACATCTTCTCATCCGGTTCCTGAGAGCCGCAATCCTCGCAAGTCTGCAGTGCCGTCGTGTTTTGGTTCAAAAGATTGGCGAGGACGTCGGCTTGCACCGCGCTTGGTGCAGCTGTAATGACGAAAAAAATAAAGGAACTCATCAAGCTACTTACAGTTCAATGTATCATGGTTTTTCCGGGCCTTCTTCAAGCGCATCGCCTTCCGCTTGAGGCTCGCCTCTTTGATCAGCGGCTTGATGTAGGGCGGGACAGTTTTTAGTTGTTCGGCCACCGCCTCGGTAGCGCTTTGCGGACCGTGCGGCCAAATCTTCGTCGATTCATTGATGTGTCGAACCTATATAACAGGCTGGTTTTTTAATACAAAAAATCACCAAACCTCTTTGGCAAAAGTCGGCGGCGGATGGTTGTGGTTGGATTTTCTGGTGACGGGCAGTCCATCGCCTTGCCAGTAAGCTTTTCCGGTGCATCTTCTTGCGCAGCATCTGACATTACGGTTTAGACGCAAAACTAACCATACCTAAAGTTTGCTTTACCGGTCGAGTCGACGCGGTACGAGCGATACTCGTACCCCAGCTCGTCGTAATAGAGCTGACCGCCTCTTTGTGACCGGGCTTCACTTGCCGGCAGACTGAAAATTGCTTGGTAGTTTCACAGAAAACTTTTTTAAACCATACCTAGGGCTGTCAAAGAGCGTAAAGTCGGAAACTGTGCCCGGTGTCGAAGGGAGGAGCGGCCTAAAAAAGCTGTAAGTCCACTTCCGGTTTTTACTTTTGCTCTTGAGGCTCCCCGGCGAGTCCCATGAGCAGCGACTGGAAATCCACGGGCTCTTCCATCTTGTAGTGGTTGCAAAGTTTTTGCAGGCTTCGATGAACTTTTCGGTAAGTGTGATCTCAAACGCTTACTGAGAGGCACATGTAGGCCGGGAAAAAACTTTTCAAGCGGGTTGTTGAACAATTTCGAAAGTTGCGCGTTGCTGTTTGCAATTAACTGGATGCCATTTTATGGTTTCAGTAGTGCGCGGGCAGTAAAATACACCAAAAAGCCGTTGCAATATCTCAGCAAAATGCGGAAAACGTTGGGCTGCTAGGCGATCGATGGGAGGCGTTGGGAGGGAAAGACGGGAGTCGTTGCGCAAATGCGGCTGGTCGGGCGCGGGGAATGTTGTTGCTGAGTTCCCCCGCGCTTGCTGCGGAAAGGGCGGCAGCGACGGGCGGTGACACTTGGTTGGGAATGGGGCAACCCGGGCGCTCACACACATACCGCTGGTTGCTCATTCTGTGTGGATACGCCTGAAAAAATCTAGGTGCAACTCTGTCTACCTTTTAGGGAGGTAGAGATGAAGCCAGTGACGGCTGCAAGACAATTGCCGCCGTGATAGTTTCTGGCCCAAAAACTTTGAAAGCCATAGGGGAGGTCTCTTTAAATTTCTTTTTCAACGTAGTTTCTTTTTAGGCTGGATGACTACGACTTACACCTAGTTTCGGCCGAAAAGCTGATTTCGAAAACCATAGGAGTAACTTTAAATATGCTTTTCAAAGTCTTTTTTATCTTTTCGGGGTAGTTCCAATTGGTTCAAAAAAAATTCGCGTTAATATTAGAACTAGCGGTGTCCGGTCAAAAATTCCCGTGGGAATTACGCGCGGCGCGACGTATGTCGATCAGAAAGTATTTTATTTATACGCTTTACATGTCGCTATAGCGAGTACGTA